ACGAAATTGCACAAAATCGCATTTTTGCGTTGTTTTTTGATTATAAAAAAGTTTCATCAGACGAATCAAAAATTCATCCCGGAAACCGACCGTACATGAATCTATATCCACTAATTAATTTTTTAAGAATTATTTGAATCATCTTGGAACTCCACAAAATCAGATAGAAATTCTGAAACTATGGTTTTAGACCTGCAATTGTGATCGCGCCAAACTTTTTTTCTGTAGATCAAAAATTAATTTGCAGTTCGGAAATGTTCTGTGGGAGACCGTGTACTGTACAATAATTAAATCTCTAGGAACACATTCAAAATTTCCATCCTCTCAAATTGTGTCATACCCAGCCTTACTCGGAAAACTCTATTCGGAAAATCGGATGCCCGAAATTTTTTCCGAATTCAATTTTCAGAAAATCCGATCGCCGATTTTTTTTACAGGAAATCGGATATCTGATTTTTTTTCCAATGTTTTTTTTTGAAAAACTTATTTGATTCTCCTGTAACTGACAATTAAAGGTTAAAAACAGCGAAAATCAATAAAAACATCGCCGATGTGTTTTGAAATTTCCATAATTTTTCCAAAACGAAAATTGGAAAACCGGGTCATCTCAAAAACATCCCCTCTTCACAGAATTTGAACTCGAGTTTCACCTTCTTCTTCTACTTCTTATTCCTCTTTCCCTTCTGAACATCTGTTCTCGATAGAAATTCCCCTCCTCACTTAATTAGTGTCTCTATTATCCATGTAAGGAAAAGAAGGGCGTTTCCTTATGTACCACATAATACATACATGTGTATATTCATCACAATAACATTTATAAGCTTCAGGTTCAGTGCTCAAAACATTTAGAGTCATAGAGAAAAAGAGAAATTGGAAGTTTTTGAGAAAAAAGAAGATAAAAATAGTAGTATTGTTTCTATTATTATGACTTCACCGATGATTGCGTAATGATTGGCTCGCTTATCACAAATTTTTCCATTTTTCGTTTTGTCTTTTTACACCCTCTTATCAAAATTCCCAGATTATTATGTGTTTTTATGGGGAACTTTTTTTGCCTGTGAATTCTTTTATTTTCATTCCCCCATGACACAATATTCTGAAAATTAGTACAAATGGTTGATAACACAAACTGGGTCGACACTGTGTATGTAATTGGAGATCCGTGTCATGTGTGTATGACCTTCCGTCTCTAGAAGAATCTCCAAAGGGTCGGTCCTACGCAATTTTCTCACCTTTCCTCATCCGCCCTGATTTTTCTGTTTCTTTGTGCCACTTCAGTTCGAATCGCAACTTTTCGAATCCTATCTAACTTTCAGGAGGTGATTGAACGACATTTGAACAGAAACGATGCGATTGTGCTTCATATTTTTAGCGGTTTTGGTGACAGGTGAGTGTAAACTTATATGGGTTCCGAGAAAAAAACCTAGAAATTAACTTTTTCAAAACGCCTTTAAGGACATAAAGCAGACCGGCTTTCCATTGATCTGTTTAAAGACTATCTATTTTTTCAATAATATTATATTGTCGAATCAAACAGACTGACACCTGAAAAAGCTTCCTTGTCGATTTACGGGGCCTCGCTCAAAAATCACTACGGTATTGTCTATTCAAATAATCGCGCGGGTGAACGAGTAAAAATGTCTGCGTCTCTACAGCGCCTCTACAGGTTTGGAGACTCTCTACACGTTTTTTTACTCGTTCACCCGCGTGATTATTTTGAATAGACAATAGTAAACGAAACTTATTTTTGTGAATTTAGCACGATTTTCTGGACAAAATTTAGATTTCTTGGTATGAAAATGATCGCTAGCATCTCTAGAATATGCTTTTCATCGAAAAACCAAACTGAATTGCGAAAGTAGCTCGAAAGAGGCAAAAGTCTGAAATATTACGTTTTTGCCGCGCTTTTTCGTAGATCAAAAAGAAGCGATGATTTTCAAATTCTCAGGTCCCACTTTTTTTAATTCGACAATAAGAAAAGTTCAAAATTTATCAGAAACAGGGAATAAGTCTAAAAGAACGAGAAATTCATAGTTGATGATCCGGGAATGACCCAAATAAGTGCCAGCAGGGTTTTTCGAGGTCATTTAGCATGGTGGTCTAACTTTCGCAAATTGAGTTGTCTAGGCCATCATGGCAAATAACATGGAAATGTTCCGATGTTTACCTGGAGTGTATTCTAGGAAATTTTGACATTGTAGTTGACATCTAGGCCTTTTTTTTGACATCTAGGCCACCTTGGTTGGCCTAAAATCTACACCATGTGAACGTTAGACCATTCTAGGCTATAGACTTTGATGGCCTAGAAAATTCATGTTGAGAAAATTAGGTCACCATGGTCGAAAATTTTTGGAACAACATTTTTCGAAAATGTTTGATCGAAGTTCCGAAAATGAAATTAACCATTTTCGATAAATTTCTTCAGAAATAATTATACCTTATATAATTGGTCGCTAAATTAAAAATTAATGATAAATTTGTAATCAAAACAGCAAAATATGGTCAAAATACAGAAGTAACTAAAAAATACGGAAAAATGAACGCAAAAAAAGAAAAAAAAAAGGTTTCAAAAACATGGCCGTGGACTAGGGATTCCTCGTCTCTATTGAACGTTTGCAACTATAGGATTTCTAACATTTTTTCTGGAAAAGTAAAATGCAGAATAAGTAAAATTCTAAGATGTACACAAAAAAAATAAGTTGCTAGAACAGTGAAATTTTTGATAAAAGTTGATCAAACGATATATTTCGATATTTTTTCTATTCGTTTGAATAAACCTGACCTAAATCCACCAACCAAGCAAACATAGGATAAAAACATTAGAACTCGATGAAACAGTAAACCTAAATTTCCTGAAAAACTAAAAATTCTAATTTTTCAGACACCATTGCCAACGAACTAACGAGATGTTGTGCCGGTGGAACCCGTCATTTCAAGAACTCAAACACGTGTTCGAGTATCAAAAGCGAAGGAACGAGTATGACTTGCCAGAGAGCCGCTTCGATTTGTTGTCTTCGAAGTTTATTGGACAGTGCATGTGATTCTGGAACTGATATTGCCAAAGAGGAAGAAAGCTGTCCGAGTAACATCAATATTTTGGGCGGTGGATTGAAAAAAGTGGGTGTTTTAACTTTGGCTCCCAAATGAAGGTTGTCATTAAAATATTCGATCCCACTGTATCGATGAAAATTATCAAAAACAAAACTCTTTTAGGAGTGCTGCGATTGCTGTCTTCTTGCCAAGGATCTCCTCAACCGAAATGAGCCATGTGTTGCTCCAGCTGGATTCTCAGCCGGTTGTCTGAGAAGTTTCAACAAGTGTTGCAATGGTGAATTTGAAATCACACATGCTTCGGAGATCATAACAGGTTGGTTTGATTCATTTCTCATTGAGAAATCGCAAAGCATCACCCATTATTTTATTAGTTTGAAAAAACACTTTAATTGCATTTAAGAAACAGTATTTTAAATAGTTAGAACTTGGATTTGATAACATATGGTATCCGATGTTAATACCTGCTAAAATGGCTTCAGAAGGTTTTAATTGTATTACTTAAAAGTGTTACCCAGGCTTCTCGACGTCCTGAAAGATCGATCGTAGCTTTTTAGTTTGAAAATAATAAAAATATCAATATCTCAGTAATGGAGCAAAGAACGAAAATAACATTTTCTTCATTCCGAAACGGTGAACTTATTTCAGGCCGCCCACTCAACGACCCACACGTTTTACACCTTGGAGATCGTTGCTCAACATCCAACTGCGAACATTTGTGTCATGATCGTGGAGGCGAGAAAGTTGAATGCAGTTGTAGATCTGGATACGATTTGGCTCCAGATGGCATGGCTTGTATTGGTTAGTTTATTTTAATTACTGTTTCATGGATAATACAAACCATGGTGTTTTGAATCAAAAGTTGATGGGTCATCTACTAGAATCCATTTCAGCCAAATTTCAAGTTTAGTCACCGTGAAACAAAATTACTAAAAGGCGGCCCGTTATCCTGTCGGGTGACAGACGTTTTCGGACGGCCCGCCAACATGGAAATCTTAGTCGCCTGAATCGCGACGTTCCCGAATTTCTCAATGGTTTTTCAAAATTCAAAAAACACCTCTTCTTTCCCCAACGTCCCCTGTCCTAGTTGCTTCTCTTCTCCCCTATCCCCAATCCTCCTGTGCTTCCATTCCAGACCGTAACGAATGTACGATTCGTCCATCCCCATGTGCTTCCAATGAAGATTGTGTCAATACAATCGGTGCCTACATCTGTCAACGAAGAATCACTCGGCTCGTTCCACATCGTCATCGAGCTAACAGAGTTGGAAATGCGCCAAGAAGAATGCGAGATGATCCATATTCTCGTGCTGGAGAATACAGAGAAGCATCGCAAGCAAATACCGAGTTTGGATGTCCAATGGGATGGTTGTATCAGCATGGACATTGTGTTGGTAAGGAAAATTTGAAAAGATAAGTTATAGGGAAAACAGAGATCTTTTTTGACTATCCGTGCATATCGTCCAGTTCTTCTGAGATTCAAAGATAATTATGTTCTTAATAACTTGGAACGGTACCGAAAAAGCTGCAGATACTACAATTCATTGTTAAAATCGTATAATAATCCATTCACGAAACCGAAACTAAATAACAACTAATAACGCTTTGCTTCACTCAAACATCTTCCCTATCATTTGTCTAATCGTCAGAGCCTTCTAACCCTTCTAACCCTCCACAGAATGCTCCCTTCACCATCCGTGTTTCCATCCCAATCAACACTGTCTACCCTCTCCTGACAACAACCGAGGCGATGGAACATGCGTCTGTAATCGAGGATATTATTGGAGTGATACTAACGTTCAATGTGAAGGTATCCTGAAAATGTTTCAACTATTTTTCAAGAAAAACATTAGAAATAACAAGGTTGATTTTTACTAAATTTTTTAATGTTTCGAAAACTTCAAATAATCAAATTTTGTTCAACCGAGAACTGATGTGATGGTTTCTCTTATAGAATTAGTGTGCTGTGTTCATTTTGAGCTAATAAATGTACTAATCCAATCTCCAGATATCGACGAGTGTGCCACTTTGATGGATGATTGTCTAGAATCGCAACGTTGTTTGAACACTCCAGGAAGTTTCAAATGCATTCGAACACTATCATGTGGAACCGGATACGCTATGGACTCAGCGACTGAACAGTGCCGTGGTTTGCTAACTTTTTACTAACATTCTTTTTTAATCCCACAATTTCAAAATTTCCTAGATTAAAACATATAATGCTTCGAAATAATGTATAATATAGGGAAGCCCCAAGTAACTTGGGCCAATTTGTTCCCAAAAAACCTGTCCAAATTTTCAGACGTTGATGAATGCAACTTGGGATCACATGACTGTGGACCATTGTATCAGTGTAGGAACACTCAAGGAAGCTATAGGTTTGATGGTGATCCATAATTAAATTTATTTATTTCTTTTAGATGTGATCCAAAGAAATGTGGAGATGGTGAGCTTCAGAATCCAATGACAGGGGAGTGTACATCGATCACTTGTCCAAATGGATACTATCCAAAGAGTGGAATGTGTAATGGTAAGTTGAATGGGTTATTTTATAGCATGCGTCTAAGAATCAACCACTGTCCCTCGAAATCCTTTCACATTCATACTGATTATCTGAAACACAAATTATTATTTTTTTTCAGACATCGATGAATGCGTGACTGGTCATAACTGTGGAGCTGGTGAAGAGTGTGTTAATACTCCTGGATCATTCAGATGTCAGCAAAAGGGAAATCTCTGTGCTCATGGTTATGAAGTCAATGATGCTACTGGATTCTGCGAAGGTTAGTTTTGAAAAATTATCGTCAAGAAAATTGTCGTAGTCAATGGTTAATGATCAAGTTGTGATAGAGAAACAGAAACATTTGTAAAAGTTTTACATCGGAGGTGTAAGTATATCAAATCAGCTTGTGATAATTCGTAATACCTATAGTGTGATAAAGAAACAGTATCACCTAATTAAAATCTAGATTTTTTTTGAAAATTTTCACCGTTCCAAAATGTTGAGGAAAAACAAAAACAAAGTTCGTTCTCTATTGGATCTGACGAAAAGACTTCAAAATAGAAATGATCTGAAATTTTCAGACGTCAACGAGTGTCAACAAGGAGTTTGCGGTTCAATGGAGTGCATAAATCTTCCGGGAACTTATAAATGCAAGTGTGGATCTGGATATGAGTTTAATGATGCTGTAAGAATTTTAAAGAATCATGAGAATTTGAAAAAGAAATGGAACTTTAGAAAAAACGATGCGAGGATATCGATGAGTGTAGCAAATTTGCTGGACATGTGTGTGATTTGTCAGCGGAGTGTATTAATACGGTAAGGAAATTTTAGGTTATTTGAAAGAATATTCTAGAAGAGCTCATATTTGACTTAAAATAAACCGATTCTGAATGATAGTGAAATATCAAACTCGAACTATCCCATAGAGGTTGAATAATATTCAATTCATATTCAGTAATACAAACTTTTTGGAACTGAAAAAAACGGGGACTTATTCTCCATCACAACTACTTTTTTTCTCTAGATCGGTTCATTCGAATGCAAATGCAAGCCAGGATTCCAATTGGCTTCAGACGGTCGTCGCTGTGAAGACGTCAATGAGTGCACAACTGGAATTGCAACGTGTGAACAGAAATGTGTAAACATCCCAGGAAGTTATCAATGTATTTGCGATCGTGGATTCGCTCTTGGACCAGATGGGACCAAGTGTGAAGATATTGATGAGTGCTCGATTTGGGCGGGATCTGGGAATGATTTATGTATGGGTGGATGTATAAATACAAAGGGATCGTATTTGTGTCAATGTCCACCTGGTTATAAGATTCAACCCGATGGAAGGACTTGTGTCGGTGAGTGTGCGCCAATTCATAGAAAGACAAACATTCTAGAAAAAAATGAAACATTTGAAACTGGGAAACTTAGTTGTTTGACTTTTCTTTTTCGAAAAAAATCATTTCTTTGGGTATTAGGCAAAAGGCGCCAACCAAAATCACATAAAAACGATTTTACAAAAAACTTAAAAATTTTATATTTTAACAAAAAACCCCTTAAATTGGATGCACTTTGCTTCCCTTAACCCGCTAGGCCCTAATTTTTGCAGTTATTAGATAACTTTTTTTGCGAAAAATTCTTGTTTCACATACTTCATTTCATTTCTTCCAACTAATAATCGAGAATACTACCAAAGAATGAGTTCTCCTACAATCGGTTAATTATTTATTTTTAGATGTGGATGAATGTGCAATGGGTGAATGTGCTGGAACGGATAAAGTATGTGTGAACACCCTCGGATCATTCAAGTGTCATTCGATCGACTGTCCAACCAACTACGTACATGACTCCCTGAACAAAAAGTTAGTTTTATTTTAATTATTTTAATTGTTCAATTATCTCTAACACCAACTAACGTTTGCAGTCGTTGTAACCGTATTCCATCAGCATGTGGTTTGCCTGAAGAGTGTTCCAAAGTTCCATTGTTTCTCACTTATCAGTTTATCTCATTGGCTCGTGCTGTGCCCATCTCCTCTCATCGTCCTGCTATAACACTTTTCAAAGTTTCTGCACCGAATCATGCAGATACTGAAGTGGCGTTCGAGTTGCAGTTGAAGACGACGATAGTTGGTAGGTTAAACCATTTCGATGAGGTTTCTTTAAGTTTGCCCGAAGATACGATATGGCATTACGCATTAGAACTAAAAATCACATAACTAATACCCTTGTAGTAGAAACAGAGAAAAAAGTTTTTGATAATTTATAATGACAACAGAGATTTTTACTCCAAGCTTTGCTGAAACTTTTTACTCCAAGCTTAGCTGACTCGCCAAATAGGAAATTTATGGTTACGAGTTAGTTTCGCGGATGGGTAAAAAAATTAGTTCCAACTTTTCAAACCTGATATATTGAAAGCAATTGTGATGGAGTATTGGTTATGATAAAAACTATCAATCTTCTATAATGATAGCGAAACAGTAAAAAGTCTCGAAGTAAGACCCCTAACTCTCAAGTTCGTAAAAACAGTCGGCACTGTGTATTAGAACTTGAATTAACAAAGCTTGTTTGGTGTATACTGGGAACTGCAAATTGCTTTCTTTAGAAGCTGCAGCGAATGTTTTTTTCCAACTAAAGGAAATTAAGTGGCTGTGCAGAAAACTCACTGTATTAAAATGGCGGCAAAACAGTAAAAAATTTTGAAATTATATTCCCTACTTGTTTGTTTGTTACCACATTCATTATATTTGAATAACTAGGAAAACTATCAGATGTCGATAGAGCGTATCTGCACGCCCTAGTTGTAGAATCCTAATTTTAATAATATATTTTTCATAACTATTCAACTAACAAATCCCATTCCCCTCTATTCCAGATGCGCCCAACGTTCTTCCAGCCATTCGTGCCAACTTTTTACTCCAAAAAGGAGAAAAACGTAACAGTGCTGTTGTGACACTTCGTGACAGTCTAGACGGACCACAAACCGTCAAACTTCAATTGTTGTTAAGGATGAGCAAGAAAGGAAAGAGTTTCAATACGTACGCAGCCAATTTGATTGTCGACGTGGCTGCTCACAAGAGACATAATACAGTACATCCGCCACTTATGAGGATTCGATAGCAACTTTTTTTGTGTGATTTATTTGAATTGCTGTGATAATGATCTCAATTTTTGCTACTAATAAATGTGATATGTACTTGTGAATCACACAAGTTGTGATCTTGAGTTTGAAGTTGATTTTTTTTTCGTGTTTCAGGTTTGTGTTAATGTTTCTTGTGATCATTGTTATTGATACCGTGTTGGGATATGTGGTTTTCTGTAATTAATCTTCCCTAAATCGCGGAACAGTCTTTTGAAAATTTTTTATCAGTTTCAAAGTTTTGATACAATGCATCCTCCACCGCATCCTATAATCAAACTCTGTCGTACTCTAATATATCCCCATACATTTCAGTCAAATCGCTGACGGCTACTCGTGCATCAAAGTTTGCTCCACGGATGACACAGAATGTCTCGGAAATCATACCCGTGAAGTTTTGTACCAATTCCGAGCGGTTCCATCGCTGAAAACCTTGCCCACTCCAATTGAAGTCTCCAAAATAGTCACCCATATGGGAGTTCCGTTTTCAGTGGACTACAGTTTAGATTATGTTGGAAAGAGACATTTCAAAATTGTTCAGGATAAAAATATTGGTGAGTTTAATTAATATCAATGATCAGGAAATTGAATTGATTCAGGAAGTCTCTCAAAAAAAATTATGCTAAAAAAATAATGTGAAATTCTGAAATTCACATTTTAGGCATATCCAACGATAATCTAGGTGACTAGTTGTGTATTGACTTATAATGGTTCTGATACCAAAAATTCATTTTTTTTCCAGGAATCGTCCAACTGGTAAAACCAATCCGTGGTCCAACTGTGGAAACGATAAAAGTCAACATTCACACAAAATCAAGGACCGGTGTGATTCTTGCCTTTAACGAAGCGGTCATCGAGATTTCAGTATCAAAATACTCATTTTAGCCCTGTTCCATGTCTGAAATAGATCCTATTTATTATTTTTCTCATCAAATCCCTCTCTCTATTGTATTTTGTATGTGGATATAAACGATTTGACCTTCTACCTGTTCGCCTTTTTTCGTCACCGATTTGGGATTAAAATGTGGTGGGGGAGAAGAGAGAAAGAACTTGTTTCCATTTGGGAGTGAGATTTCAATTTTATTATGAAACGGTTCGGATAGATCTCGATTATGAATTTAGAGCTGCCCAGGTGTGGTGAGTTTTTTCTCGAATTGTTTTGAAACAAGTAATGGAACATTTCGGAAAATTATGTAATGGTGGTGAACAGCAAAATATTTTTTTCGTTTTGAAGCCAAATCTGTTGGAAACATGTTCCTTTGAAACTATGGTAGATTTTTAAGGGATAAATTGCATACTATTGACATTTGCTGGGTGAAGGTGACCAAAAAAAAACCTACCATCGGTCTTTTTTTTAGAAACATGTTTTCAAAGTTTGAGATTATTGTTATTGTTTTCATGGAGATCTTTTGACTTCACAACGAAACAGTGTATAAAGTGTTTGAGCTATTTTCAAAATATTCGTATCGGATGGATCCAATCAAATCGCCCATATACGCGTACGTATTTGTTCGTCACTGTGGTTTGCTTGTAGTTGAAAATCGAGAATTTCGTAAAGTGAAATGTATAAAGTAGCCAACATCATGTACTCAATTTATTTTGCATCTGAATCAGATGATCTGATATGAAAACGTAAAACCTAAAACAGTTATAATATTTTTTAATAGACCGTCACCCTGAAACTCGCATTTGGAGCAAGGAAACCTTTTAAGTGAAGGTAGGAGTCAGCAGAAACCACCTATATAGATCGAAAGAGCGCGATCGAAAACCTATAAATCCGTTTTCAAAGTCTGCTTACGAGACTTTCGAAGTGCTGAAATTTCAGTTTCAGTAACAAAAATCCCATTTTCAGTGTAAAATCGGCAATTTTCAAATGTGATTTTCTCCACTCCTAGCAGGTTTCAGAAGTTAAAACTTTTTGTATTGTACTTGAAGTTATGTATAATTTCATATTTCAAACATTTTCTGAGAAAAAATGTATTTCCGGAAAAGTATCGGGAAGTTTCAAAATTTGCCTAGATTTTCGGGGGGCCCAAGTTTCCGAGTTTGAAAAAAATTTTTTGGAAATTTTTTTAATGTCTGAAATGTGAAATTCCACATAATTTCGAGTATAATACAAAAAGTGTCACATCCTCGAACCTCCTAGGAGTGAAGAAAATCAAATTTAAAAATTGCCGACTTTACACTGAAAATGGGTTTTTCGGTGCTGAAACTGAAATTTGAGCACTTCAAAGGTCTCTATTATACTCGAAATTATGTGGAATTTCACATTTCAGACATTAAAAAAATTTCCAAAAAATTTTTTTCAAACTCGGAAACTTGGGCCCACCGAAAATCTAGGCAAATTTTGAAACTTCCCGAAACTTTTCCGGAAATACATTTTTTCTCAGAAAATGTTTGAAATATGAAATTATACATAACTTCAAGTACAATACAAAAAGTTTTAACTTCTGAAACCTGCTAGGAGTGGAGAAAATCACATTTGAAAATTGCCGATTTTACACTGAAAATGGGATTTTTGTTACTGAAACTGAAATTTCAGCACTTCGAAAGTCTCGTAAGCAGACTTTGAAAACGGATTTATAGGTTTTCGATCATGCTCTTTCGATCTATATAGGTGGTTTCTGCTGACTCCTAACTTCACTTAAAAGGTTCCCTTGTTAGTTATCTTGATTTCTGTGAGAGATATCAAAACTTTGATAAACTGTTAGTGTTAATATGACAAACACTTTAGAAGTTGATAGATTTTCAATATCTTTTACGAAAATTGAGATAATTGAGCTCAAAGTGCGTGTACAGGGGCCGCATAATGTTAGTGATAGTACTTTTTCTACATTTCTGTTTCAATAACTCAATAATTTTTTTGTAATACCGTTAGCTTTAATAACTCAAGTTTGTCTTCTAACTTTTACTCTGAGCTCATTTTCCTCGGTTCCGAAGAATTCCTGTTAAAGATATGAAAAAGTTGCCTACTGATAAATTGTAATATCGGCATTGTTCAGTCTGTTTATGCATGTTTGGTATCTTGCATAGGAATTGAGATAATTAGGCTCAAACTTGACAATATGTGACCTTTCTATCATAGGTTTCATGGTATTAAAAAATCTCGGAACCAACGGATTTTTAAAATAATTTTTTGGAGTTCTGGTTTAAAAATGAATAGTGCAAGCATAGAAGAACATTGACACACTATCAGCTTTTGTTTTGGCATCTAATATTGAAAATAAATTCCCCATGCCCGTATTATACTAAAAACTGTTTCACTTTTAAAACATCCTATCTGAAACAGTAATAATTTCAAACAACATTGTTCCTACATTTTATGTTTACGGAAATTGAGATAACTGAGCTCCAAGTGAAAGTGTAGATGTGGCATTCTGTTAGTGATCATACTTCTCCCACCACAAGGTTATCTCTGTTTCATGACCTCATAAACTTTTTTTTAAAGACAATGTACTTCAATAACTTCACTACTGAGGTATAAAGTGTTCTCAATTTCATCCGATTTCCAAAAAATTGGTATTCTGTTTCGAAAACGGACTATTTTTAGAAGGAAATTGACGCACTATCAACGCTTGTTTTTGCATCTAATAATGAAAATCAAATTTTGTTTCCTCTTGCGCTTATTTTACCAAAAACTCTTCCACTTTTAAAACATCCTATCATAAATAGTGATACTTCCAAAAATCATTGTTCTTATTTTCATACTCCGTTTCGGAATTCCGTTTCGGAAACGGAATATTTTTTGAAGGACATTGACACACTATCAACTCTTGTTTTTCTTTTGAATATTGTAAATCAAGTCATATAACTAGTAAGGCCGGAGTACACCAAAAACTCTTTCACTTTAAAAGAATCCTATGTGAAACAGTACCTATCTTCATCCTTTCCCCTACTGACCCACTACTCTCTCTCTCTCTCTCTCTCTCTCTCTCTCTCTCTCTCTCTCTCTCTCTCTCTCTCTCTCTCTCTCTCTCTCTCTCTCTCTCTCTCTCTCTCTCTCTCTCTCTCTATTCTCCCTATTAAAGTTCTTTCACTCCTCCCCCAACAAAGATCAAAACGTCACGACGACACCATCGAAAAAAGAGCGCGAGAAAGGAAAAATAAAACAAAAATTGTGTGGGATGATAGATAGATAATTGGCAGCCATCATTGACACGAGAGTGATGATGATGCCCAGCCCGATCATACAGTGTGACACACACAAAATCTTGAAAAAAAGAGCGAGAATCATTTTCTTTTCTCGCTATTCCATTTTTCGTGTCATCGCCGTTTTCCACCGTATTTTGTACTGAATTTACATATTTCGACCAGCGCCCCGCCAACTGTACTATAAAATAGAACACTTTGTTTGACTAAGACCTTGCAAAAATGGTCTCACTACCTCCAACATCTCTTGTAACTGATGTTTTATTAGAAGAAGATAAGGAGCATGAGGATCTCTCTATTAGTGAGTTTGGAAGATCTTTATAAAAATCGAATTTTTCATGCAAATAATTTATGTCTGAATTTCAGAAAAAGGATCATCTGGAAAGCTGTCAGATGAGGAGCTACTGGCCAAGACTATTGAGAAAGCGCTCAAGACGAAAAAGATGGCACAGTCTTCAAATATGACATCTTCGATAAAAGTTGCATTGACGGCTGAAGATTTGTTGGATCAAATCGGGATGTAAGTCCGTTGATGACATTCAGCAATATTGGAGTTTTAAATGTTGCATGTTTCAAATTCTTTTTAACTATGGAAACCTAAGAATATATCAAAGCGATATTTCTAGTTGCTGAGAGTTTTCATGTCAGATTTTGTCCGTTATATTTCTGAATGAATTATTATCCCTGATAAACCCCCGATTTGTGAGTCAAGCCTTGTCTGGCCCCGGTTCTAGGTACTCTGAAAAAAGTCCAGCTAACAAGAATCAATCACTAAATTACGGAAAAATTAAATACTAAAAAAATTCACTGTTTCAAAAACTTGTTATGCTAATATCATAAAAAGGACATGCATTAATCATATCTTTGAGTGTGCATAGAGGGACTCCGACCGAAATGTTATATTGCGCCAAAATGTTTCCAGTTTCATGTATTTTCCATTTATCATTATTATATCACAAGAGATTCCGAATTTTATGGTTGGAGTCCCCCTTTAACCACATAAAAAGGTGTAATTACTGCATTTTTAATGATGTTATCGTATAGAATTGATTATCCCCTTCTGATATGAAGTTATTGAAACCGATTTGAAAAATATGGAATAACAGGCACAATGAACTGTTCCAGGAACAAAATACTGAATTTACTGTTTCAAAAACCTGAAAAAGCAGTGAACCTAATCTGATCTTTCCACCGTTTTCCAGATGGCACCCCTACCCTCTCTTCATCACATTCTCGATGGCATTCCTTTGGTGGTTGTCTGTTATGCCGACAATGTCACCCAGTTATATGGCTCCCGCCTCTCCGTGTACATCAGATAATTGCTCTTTCGTAACTGTTCAGAACGAGGTGAGCAACAACAATTTGATAGAGGGAAGGAACTTATTACGTAAAGCAAGGTTGATACACAGAGAAACCTTATAGGGGATTTGAAACAAGAAAAATGAACTTACAGTTCAACATCACAAAAACACTAATCGATCCTGGAGAGATGACAAGCTCGGTGTTTTTCTTGGGAAATGGAGTACTTGGGCAGATTTATGCAGTTGCTGCAGATAGGTTTGTTCACAGTGCGCATTAAAGAATTTCGATACAACAGAAAGTTAAAACTTCACTGAAACTAAGAAATTCATAAAAAAAGTACCGCCAAGATTTTAGCTTTTCCAACTTTGAGTATCTAAAAAATATGGTAAATTTTGTTGGTGGAGACTGAAATATTGCAGGTCTACTGAACAAAATCAGAGCCTCAATTTTGTAGTTGACAACTTCTTTGTACAAATTCATCTAAATTAAATAAAAAGCTTTAAATTTTTATGAATCTGAACTCAGTGCTTTGGTTCGAAGCGGTTTATCTCATTTAGATCAATTTCTACAAAAAAGTTGTCAACTACAAATTTGAAGCTCTATTTTTGTTCAGTACACCTAATTCTACCAAAACTTTTCAGAATCGGTCGCCGCCCAGTCCTCATCGCCAGCCTCTTCATTTCTGGTCTTTCTGGAATTGGAGCAGCATATGCTCCAACTTTCGAGCTAATGCTAGTTGGCAGATTTTTCCAAGGCAGTTGCTTTACGGTAACCTATAAACTCTATTTCTGAAATGAACTTGACCTATTCCTAAAACGAATTCAGGCTCTAACCATGATCAACTGGGTGATGTGTTGCGAGAGCATCTCGTTCTCTGGCCACGGCTACGCTTCTGTATTATTCGGTCTTTGTTGGGTGATTGGATACTGTTCAGTGTCTCCGTTGGCAATCTATTTCAGCACATGGAGATATGTACAATTGGCCACTTCAGTTCCATGTGTGCTCTTTGGATTCGTGATGTTATTGTGAGTAACATTTTTTACAGTTTCATTAAAGTTGTGAAGTTTGCAACCGAGTCAATACTCATTACAATCAATACTCATTAATCCGGTCGACATCGTATTTCAGTACTCTTCCCGAAAGCTTCTCATTCTTAGTTGCAAAACGAAAACGCGACGATTTGGTGCAATGGATCGAAACTGCCGAAAAAGTGGGAAACGAAGAAATCGATTATGATGCTGATCAAATTGTGGATATGTCCAGTCGGGAGGATGATAACAAATCTCTACTACAAACTTTGAAAATCGTGTTGCAGTCAAAGCTGATGGTCACTTATACTGCCGTGGAATCGTTTTTATGGTATTACGGTAGTCTGAAAAATGAGAATTGTAGAAGAAAAACATCGGACGCCGCATGTCCTGGAACGAAAATTACGGTAGCAAAAAATATATTCACAAGTTTTTTTTTTTTGGGAAAACTCGAATAGGAGTAGCTTGCAAATTAATCGTTAATTGAGAGCAACACTTTACTAGAGACAATGACACAGTAAAAAAGTTAAATCATTTCCAGGATAATCGACTTGATGATCTACAGTGCTCTTTCGCTCTCCTCAACAGGTGTTGGTTCCCATAACATGCATCTTTCCTACATTTTCTCTGGTCTCGTCGAAATCCCATCCTACTTCCTTATCCCTGCGGCTATCGATTGGTTGGGGCGAAAACCATCGGTTATGGTTTGCCATCTCATTCTCGCGTTCTCTCTTCTCTCAATGTATCTGTTCGATCATGAAGCGGATCCGGAGATATTTTTAATCATCTGGCTAATTGCCAAATTCGCCGTAGCATCTGCTTTCATGTTGTGTTTTGTGTACGGTGCCGAGTTGTTTCCGACTAATTGCAGGTGAGAAAATGTGTGATAATTTTTGAGTCAGTTTTTGAAGATGGTTTTTATACTTGTTGTTTTTAATTTTATTTTATTCAGGAGCGAGTAATTTCGGAAAAAAATTGAAACTCCTTTTTTGTAGTTGAAAAAATTTTCTAGTCTAGTCATTCCGTGCTACTTCGAACTATCTTTTCTCTGTGTCTAACTATAATGTAAACTTAAAAATATAGGTTTAACTTCAAAAGTTTTCTGTTACACGGGGTTTCTTGCCTGTTGCTGTTTCCATTTACATTTTCCAGTAAAAATATCCATATATCCGAACGCTACGTAGTCAATTACATTCGGCGACCCATTTTCATATCTTTCCTTCTCTTCTAGCCATCCAATCAAACATCCAAGGCACCGCTAGGGAGAGAAAAATAGGCTCTGCCTCTTTGTTCTGTGGTCGCCATAATTTTACTCTCTAGTTTCTGAGCTGAATATCGCCTGAAAAAAACGCAGCATTATCATCAAAAAAACACTGTTTCCTGATAAGCGTAAAAACTACTTTTTTGAATTACTCCACAATATCAATTGGTTACAACTGTTTCAGAAGCATTTGCCTCGGCACATGCGCCACAATATCCAATCTCGGAGCTGTTTTCGCCCCTCATGTGCCAGCTATGGTATCTCCTTCTTTTTCTTCTTAAAAATATTTCGAATAACTTTTTTCCAGGACATTTTCTTCCCGGGACTTCACTATTTATTCTACGCTCTCTGCTCATTCATTTGCACAATTTTGACGACAATTCTTCCCGAAACAAAAGAGAATCACAGTGTACCGCGAAGTCAGCAACAGTCGTTGGCTTGATCATTGATAATTTGTTGATTTGATTTTAATTAATTTCTGTTCGGGTATAAAATTTTTTTTTGCTGTTTGAAAGGTTGGTTAAGTCTGGGTTCATTTTCAACAGAATTGATGGGCTTTCTCTTTCATTTGCAATCTAAAAATCATTTATTCAAAGAAAAAAAAAGTGGTTTCTTACAACCCGTGTAAAATCTAAAAATCTAGAAAATCTGAAGCTCAATCTAAATTCTGAAGGGGCTCCTCCTCTCGCCGGATCTCCGGTTGAACTCTTTGTTTTTTCCTCCGTTTCAGCAACAACTCTTCCGGATGCCAGAACCTGAAATATGTTTAATGTCAATTCTTTCAGATTCTATAAAACTCACTTCAAGTATACTGTAACTCCAATGGAAATAATCAAAATGATAACGCATAAGAATAGCAAAAAGATAAGTACGTTCACAAATTTATGGGGTTCGTCATCGTAATCTTTGTATTTTCTACGATAGCGGGGAGTGGTCGTTGTCATCGATGTGGTTGTTGAGCGAGATCTGAAAATTTTCTCGGTTTCAAATTGGTGATAAGATAACATGTTGAGAGCAATTACCAATGCTCCGTCCTCCGGGTTTAAAAATGGAACAAATCAAGTTTGAAATTTGTCTATGACGGACTAGAAATCCCTTCTTCCGCCAAACGATGTTTCATGCAAACTAAGCCTAATGGAGGTTATCATTACCAGAATCACCCACCTGGTGCTCATTTTATCTGTCTTTTTTCCTCCTTCCAACTCATTCAACGTATCCAAAATAGTCTTCCTTGGTGACGTCGTCATCTCCTCCTTCTCTTCATCCATTTTCTCCGTTGTAGCTTTTGTAGAAGTATGAACTCTTTCCATAATCCCTTTCTGTGCATTCTCCACAAATGCCATCCATTGTTTTGTCTCTTCTGTTGGATCCAAACAAACGCTTTCATTGGTTCCAGGCAGGGCTTCTAACATCCAAACTGTTCCATGACCGTTTAGATCACAGTAGACGTCATCTATGTCGTCAATCTGGGATAAAAATGTTGACAATAAGATTGAAAACAGTTCGAAAATCTTGTGTTTGAATAAATTTTCTGATTTTTATAACTTTTCTTTTCGAAATGGTTTATTATTTATAACAGCTGATAGAATTCTTCGGAATTTTTTTTTTTTTCCTTGGGATTCTGTGTAAAATATCAAAAATGTGTCAACTGAAAGAATATCTTATATATAATTGGCTGCAAGTTAAAAGTTCGGGGGCACTTCTATTAAAGGTTTACGGCATCCAAAAGTATCTTCATATTAAACATGCTCAGTCACCCCGCACCATTTTATTCAAAGTTTGGTTGATAATTTAAGAAGATTCTTTGTCGGACACGCCCTTTTTTTGAACCAAAACTTCTACAATATTTACAAACAACTTGAAACAGTAAGATTCAATTTTTCCAGAGGATTTCTTGAATTCAGTTTTCTAGTTTCTAGGTCACTTGACTAATGTTTTGCTTCATTTTCAGTTTCAAAACTCTGTTATTTTAAACACGTACAAGTTTCCAACAGTGTGATCTGAACAGTCGTAGGATAAAAAACTTTTCTGTTTCATTTTGAACATATTTCCTACTGACTAAATATCCTTAATGTTTTGTATGTTGCCAGGCACATTTTCTTACTCTCAACTTATTCCAAAAATTTCACACCTTTGCTCGATTATTTTTCTTCATCAACCATCGTTGCAAATCGGACGGTGACTCACAATCACATGCGAATCGACTGAAGTTCCCGCCCAAACGAATCTGAAAAAAATCCTTTTTCTCTATGCCTCTCTTCTCTCTATTTTTTTTGGGAAATGAAAGTGAAATTAGCGATGCAACTAATCAACTGTTCTTTCTTTCTCTTATCAACATGGAACGAAAACCAAAAACTGGTTTTCGAATCAATTGAACCTAAAAAAAATGACCAAACCTTTTTCAAATTATCCAAATGGACGAGTGACGTGGCATTCAGTTGATCCAATGGGTTATCAGAGAGATAGAGATGGGTTAGAGATGGCAATTTTGAAATGGAATCCGGAATGAATGTTATTGATGAGGATGTGATTTCCAGATGGGTTAGGTTGGTAAGATCGGAGAGTTTTTCCTGAAAAAAAAAATTAATTCGGTTTCAGGGAGTTTAGAAGATAGATAGATTTTTCGTAACTGTTGATAGTTGTTGATAGTTGGACATGCAAAAAATGTATTGAAAAATATGAAAGTCTATCAATTCTCGAACTAATATGAAACCAGTAAATTATTTTCAATACAACTTCAATCCAAACGTTTTTCCTGAAATTTTTTTTGTTTTCAGGGAATTTAGAAGAGCGAAGAAATGTTTACCAAACCACTAAATCATCGCTTTTATCTGAAAAAAAAACCAAACAAGTATATTTAGATCATGTCTATTTGAAGAAAAGGTTTTATCAAAAATCGAATTTTGAATATCTGAAATTATTAATCTGAAATAGGAAAAAGAAGCTTTAAAAAATCAATTTTCGAGTAGGTTACATTTTCAGTGCTATTATTTTTTAGCTAGTAACCAGAGTTTGAGATTCAATTAGCAGTCAAATTTTAAATTTTGGAAGCATCAGATTACCGTGTAACCTGTAATAGAAGGGCCCCTCACACTGTCAAGTTTGAGCTCAATTATCTCGGCTCCTATGCAAGATATCAAAAATGTGTCAACTGATAAATATTTGCGATATTATGATAAAAAAATGATCAGTTGATAAGTTTGTTCGTATATTCGACAGGAAACGAAATAAAATAACTCAAAGTTATAAGATAGGGGGCCCTTCTAATACAAGTTTGGTGGTATATAAATTTCAGAACTTTTTTCGAAGTCTTAAAAGACGTATATGTCTTCCTGAGCATACTTTTGAACTTCAAAATCAGATTTGAAAAAGAAGGTATGGTCGAATTATCGTAGCAATAATCTTGTGATATGAAACTATCGAAACTGTTTTTTTTGCAAAACCTCATTGACCTTTGAGCTCATTTAACTCGATTGCTATAGAAGATATCGAAGACAAGTCAACTGACAAAATGTTTGTTATAATCTGATTAATATTTCTCTAGTTCACAGATTTTTGATATCTCTTGCATGAATTGAATTAATTGAGCTCAAAGTATATCGTGGGCATTTGTTAAGGCACATGCGGTATTTGAATTTTCAGACTCGCCACCTACCATTTCCTTCGTTGTCATTTTGCTATTCGTAATTTTTAATGCTCTCAAATTGCCCAATTCTTTCAACTGTTTCGCTTCAAAGCTCTTCCAATCCGTCTGATTCATATGCAACTGGGTCAGAGGGGATGGTAGTTTTCCAAGCTTATCCCATCGCAGCTTGTCACAAACCATTATGTTTTGGGATGTCTGAAAAAAGAGAGAATTTAATTTAGTTCCGCGTTTCTCTCTTCTTATCTGTTCTTCTTCTTATCATCCAAGAAAAAAAACCTTACCAAGAAAGTGTAAAGTTAAACCTCAACAACGGCCCTGCGCGCGCATGATTCCTTGACAACAAAACGAGAGAGTGTGGATGGTAAAGAGACTCAGAGAGATGGGTTTTCAATAAAAAAAATTTCAAGTGATCAAGACGAAATTGGCAGTATAAAAGGGCAATGGGGGGATGGGGAAAGACATCATCCACATTTGATCAACCAGTCAAAAAATGGAGGACAACAAAATCAAGGTAGTTTTTAAATTAAAAAATTGGTTCCTGAAACATTTACTGTTTCATTTTGGCTTCAAATTAAATTCAGTTTTTCTTGTAACATTGGAAAGTAACATTGGAATGTAACATTGGAATTTTTCCAGGCCTACCGCCTCATTGGATATGCTGCCGTTTCCCTTTCGGCCGTCGGAATCCTTTCCGTCTGCATTACCCTTCCATTGGTCTATTCCTATGTGAACAACCTTCGCTCCCAAATGCACACTGAGCTCCGCAATTGCCGTGACACCGTCAACACCGTCTACGCCACCGCCGTCGCCATGCCAGCGCTGCCCGGGAGAGCCAACCGTACCGCCCGTCAGGCCGGATACGATGTTGCCGTTCAGGACGCTCCATCTCAAGAGCACAACTCTTGCGATGGATGTTGCTTGCCAGGGGCAGCTGGTCCAGTCGGAGCCGCTGGTCGCCCAGGAACTCCAGGACGTCCAGGAGCCCCAGGAGCCCCAGGAAACCCAGGAAAGCCACCACAATCGCCATGTGAGCCATTGACTCCACCACCATGCCCAGCTTGTCCACCAGGACCACCAGGAGCTCCAGGAGCACCAGGAAAGCCAGGAGCCGAGGGACCACCAGGAGCCCCAGGACACGATGGACCAAACGGAGGACCAGGACAGCCAGGACAACAAGGACCACACGGACCAAACGGACATCCAGGAAAGCCAGGACCACAAGGACCACAAGGACCACCAGGACACTCCGACGAGCCAAAGCCAGGACAGGCAGGACAGCCAGGTCGTGCCGGACCACGTGGTCCACGCGGACCAGCCGGACTCAAGGGCAAGGATGGTGCACCAGGACAGCCAGGACAGCCAGGACCACGTGGAGGAGCTGGAGAGCCAGGACAAGACGGAGCACCAGGACAGCCAGGAGTCGCCGGAGCCGACGGAACTCCAGGAGAGAAGGGAATCTGTCCAAAGTATTGCGCTATCGATGGAGGAGTCTTCTTCGAGGACGGATCCAGACGCTAGATTTCCAATCTTGTCTTCCATTTTTTATAAAGATTTTAGCATTGCAATTAACGTTAAATTTGCATTACCGTTAAAAAACAGAGAAACAAATAGGGAAATTGTGAAACAGTAGTCGAACGAATCTACTTCCTGTCAGAGAGATTCCATTCAATTTTTCAATGCTATGTAGAGTTCAGCTGTCTTATTTCGAGCTGGTATTACTGTTCCCCTTCAAATTCACGAAGAAAAACGCACGCATTCAACGCCGACAGACTGCAAACAAGCCCCGCCCCCTTTGCAAAAGCGCCGCGCAGTACTGCACGTGTTTTTGCAAACTATTTACCCGAACACTTGTCACATCCGCTGATCTCAAACATCTACACGTCGGCGGACACTCGAATCGACATTCGCATTCCTTCTTCTGACAACATTCACAATCCGCTTCACACATCTGCAAAAATTCAGTTTCAAATGGTTTTCAAATTTCACTGCTTTCAAAGCTAAGCGTTCGCTCATCTTTTGTCTTACTCTTACATTGGAATATTTACAAAGCAATTGATTCCTCGAATGTGCCAGTGTCAGCGACATTGTCTTCTCGGGCTTTAAAATGTTGGAACACTGAATTGCTGGAAGATCTCCGAGTGAAATGTTCTGAACTTCATTTCTCAAATTAAAAAGAGCCGTTCATTCAATCACAGACTTTTGATTCAGCATCCATCAACCATTTATGACTACAATGACACAGTAACGGATTTTCAGAGAGAAACAACTTGATTTGATTTTTGGAACCTCGGAAACTAGATGCCTTCACTTCTTTGAGACTGTTGTTTCTGGAATATGAACTTGCGAATTATTTATTTTAGAAAAACTCACTTTAAATCCAACAAAACCAAATTTGAAAGATGTTCGAATGCGAATTCATGTAGATAGTTCAACTTGTTATTCGATAGATCTACATGCTTCAATTCCGCTGGTAAAACGTTTACAGCTCCTGTCGACAAGCCAGCCACGAATTCCAGACGATTTCCAGATAAATCCAAACGTTTCAGATTACGAGCACTTGCTGGGACATAATGGATAGTGGAGACTAGGTTATGACGGATGGATAGGTCGGTTAGGTTCTCGGGGAATCTGGAATGAGTGTTTCGAAAAAATGGATATAAGCTCTGTCGCCCTGGTTTCAGGGCCTTTTGTGAATACTCGTTTTTCATTAAAACGTCCCTTGAATTGACGGTTGTTTTCTTATCAGGTTCCGAAATTCGTATGTTACTGTTTTACATTCAATACATATACTTTAACCAATTGCACATACGCATTATGATGTGAATTTCAAATGGTTACAATTGAATAAATGTTTCTCTAACAAAGGCTTCGATAGTGTCGGGAATTTTAGCAGATCGACCGACCGCCTAATGCACAAGTTCGGTCAGCTGTCGGTCAGCTGAGTCGGCGGTTGGTCGGTCGGCTAAATTTTCTAACTGAATGGACACTTTAACTTTCATTACGATGTCCCTTGAATTACAGTTTTGGACCATTTTCCGGACATATTTTCAAGATTCTTAAATTCCTTTTTTTACTGTTTTATGTCTCTGTGATAAATTTCAGTCTATTCCATCAAATTTAATCTTGCCGACTAGTTCGCAATTTCATAATAAAAATATTTGCCGTTTTAGAATTGTGATTTATAAATAAAAGTCTGTACTTTTTGTTTTCAATTGTTGAGTAAATTCATGATTCATCAATTACCGTAAACACCCAAGTAGAATGACTTCCCTAACTTTCGATTTATATCATTTTCTGTGGAAGATATCAAAAACTGGTTAATTGGTGAAGTGTTTTTGATAGTATGCTAAATATTTTGTCAGTTTATCACTTTTGTGATATCTCCCACAGGAACCAAGAAAAACTACCGCAAAATGAAAAGCTAAGGCGCCCTTCTATTACAGGTTCTACGGTATTTTCTTCAATTCATTTATCAACCTATTTCACATAAGTTATAAAAAAATATTTGCCATTTCGAGATTTTGATTTTAAAAGTCAATATTTTTTGTTGACAATTTGACTGTCCGTACCTCCTGAAATCAATATTCGTTATCTTGTTATTATTCATTGTTATCACTTTCAGCTTTGTCAATGATATTAGCGTGTTTGTCAAGAATCCAATATCGTTATCGCTCAAATCCAAATGAATCAAGTCACTGAAAACTTTTTTTCTTTTGAAAATATCTGGATAGCTAGAACTCACTGCAAAGATCTCAATGAATATGGCTCGATTCTGAGTTTATTTCCAGACAAATCCAAAGTCATTAATTTTGGACAATGCGCAAAAATGTCTCTTGGGAAATCGGCGATGTTCGCGTTTTTGAGGATTAATGAGTAGAGTTGATGGAGACCCTGAATTAAATTGGCCCGAAGGTATTAAGGTGTTCCATGAATAATGTCGTTTTTTTCGATGGCAGTTTTCTCTGTCATGGCTCGTCAAATTTTTCTTTGTTTCTCACACACCTAATCAAGTCGTCGAAAATCCCTGTCTAACATGTATCATAATGCTCTCAGTTATTCGAGGAGAAATTTTGGAAAAGTTGTTCTTTTTCTCTTATTTTTTATACGAATCCATGCTCGGAAGAAATGCGACCCGAGACAACCGAAAATATCAACCGTGCTTCCGTAGAAAAAAGTGCCAACAGAAAAACAGTACAACGATGGTTCACAAAATTCACATGTGGAGTGCTTGGAGTCTCTACCGGAACAATATTTAGAGATAAATAAAAAAAAGAGAAGACTAGAAAACTAGATAAATGGCTCTCTCATGAACTGAACGATCGCCAGAAATTGCAACGTTACTCTAGTTCGTAAGATCATCTCATACGACAGAAAAATGATCATTTTTTGAATCGAATTATGGCGTATGAGGAAAAATGGACTCTATACTACAACAAAATACGATCAGCGCCATATCTGGTCAGAAGCTAGAAGGTGCAACATCTTACAAAACCAGAAATTTGCCAAAAAGAGGTTATGGTGACTGTTTGGTGTCTGGCTTTTGGTTTTATTCATTATGACGCCCTGAAAAGATATAAAACTAATACTCCGGTTTACAATTGTCAAGAAATAGAGAAAATTTGTTATCCAAAATGCCAGCACTAGTCGAAAAATTGGCACAATCCTACTCGACGACAACTTTATGTGCACATGTTGCAATCATAGAGGCTCAAAAAATGGAATACGTTTGGTTACAGAATTATCGGTCAATCATCATACTTGCCGACATTTCCTTTATTGCTTACCATTTTTTCAAACACCTTGAAAGCCTTCCCAAAGAGAACCAGTTCATTAAAAATGACTATGCAAAAAGGCTTTCCAATGTTTCGTCCCTTCCTGGGCTTCTATCATGATAGAATTTTCAAATTAGTAAAATGTAGGCAAAAAAGTACTAATTCGAATACATAGTTTGTTTGAAGAACATGAATTTCACTGAAGTTATCTTCGTTTAAAGAGTGGTACCAAAAAACGACATTATTTATGGAACACCCTAATATTTCCGTAGTCGTCTTAACGTTCCACTTACTCACCGCAAAAAGTCCATCGGGTACTGTATCAATTAGACATCGATCCAATTCTAATCGATCCAGATTTCGAAATCCTTGAAATAGAGAATGTGGAGGAGTTGAGACTTTTGGAGAGTGATATGGACATTTTATGGTTAACGTTCGGACCAAATCGGGTCGAGCCAATTGGAAATTTGTGGCGTTGAGCTGAAAATAAAATTTAAAAGGTGGTGTGCGGTGAAATTTTTTATTGCTTTATTTTGTGCAAAAATCTATGTAGATTCCCATGAAAATAAAGAAAAACTTCAAAAAAATTCATAAAATGCGAAAAACCGCGTCGAAAAAGCGACGATGTATCCGGTGGCGAGCTCGGTAAATGTGGGCAACTTTGGGGCAGAATTTGGGTGAATTGGGCTGCGGGCAGACTTTGATCCAAGGCTGGGCAGAAGAAGGGCAATAGTCCAACGGCGCGCAGAGGGGCAAAGGCTGGGCAGACGCTGGGCAGAAGCTCAGAAGGTTGCGGTGATGCAGAATTTTTTTAACGGTTATAAGTTTTAAACATATTTTTCATACGTTTTCTTTGAATTTTTTCAAATACTGTCAGTTTCTTATCCTTTTTTTCAGTTTTCAACGAAGAAACAGGAGGATGAGTGTCATCGATGAGTGGAATCGGGTGAAGCGAAACAAAACAACGGGAAGCCATTGGTGAGCATAGAAAAGAATGAGTTTTGTTATGTTTCATTTTTAGAGATGGAATACCAGATGACAAGAGGAGAATTCTACGAAATCCCATCAGAAGAATCCCACCCAGGAGGTATGATTTTTTCTGAATTAAAGCTCACATTGATTCAATTTTAGAACCTTCGACGAAACGGAACAGTCAACTGGAAAAAGAAGAAGACATTTATGACAACCCAACTACGAATGATTCGAATGACGATGTAATGGATGAAAATGAAGCGTTCGAAAGTAGTGGTGATGACGCAAACGAGCCGACAATGGACTTCTTCAGTTAGTTTTAGCTAAAATTTGTAAGCGTTGTAGAAGCGAAATTTTTGTACACGCATTGTCTGTAACTGTATGTAATTCAGACATCGAAAATGCGGTATCGTATGTTGCTGTCATTTTTCTTCACAACAACTTTTCCGACTCAGTCGCGAAAGACATTTTTCATGCTCATGTGGTAGCAAGAATCTCTTCTATCAGCTCAGCGAAAAGCTCGAAATTCGCGTTGAATGACTTGAAAAAGCGACTTCTTGAAATTCCTCACATCTTTCCTGGCGAAGGAATCTTCTGTCGAGTTCATTTGGGCGAGGTTAATTTTTCAACTCCCCCGAGAGGAACAGGATCATCCAATCAACTGATGAACATATTCAAAACGATTTTTCTCAAAGTGAGTAACTCATTTTATAAAAATGCATCAGCTATTTTAGCTCGTATCACCTCAATACTTAATTTGGACTATTTCCTATCGCCCAAACAGTGGAAGGCGTGGCGACAAACACTTCGATCGTTTCCCAGAAACGTTAGTGACGGTGCTTAAAGGTGTGTAGATTTTGGTCTCGGATCACATTATTCAATATTTTCAGATTTCGGAATGGACGCCATCGCAAATTACATCCCCACCCGACTTCTTCCAGCCGACGCCGATATGGACGAAAAGTTCGTGAAAAGATTGACATACCCATTCGAGGAAGCTTGTAAAAAGATTGTTAGACCCCGAAACTCTTACGAGTCAGCTGATAAGCTTGTTCGTCACGCAATTCATGGTGCTTTGTAAGTTTTCAGAAAACTCTTCTTCAAAAATAGATATTTTCCAGGCAACTTCTTCGCACGTATCATTATGACACAGCGAACGGGATTCTCGTGAATTGCAAGGTGAGAAAACTAATATTCTTTACATCCAAGCTAAATTTTACATTTTTGCAGAAAAGATCGGAGTGTTCGACACATTTGACGTGGAAAGACTACAAGTCTAAACTAGAAGTTGGAGACCAAGATGCCTAGGAGACAAAGTTTGGAGATCGCCTTATAATTTTCGTTGATCGAATTGTTTCATTTAACATTTTTGTTTTTTTCTGTTTTCCTTTTCTGTTTCTCACCCTTTCCTGTTATTTTTTCTATTTTCTAAAATAAAATGAATAGTGTTTTGCAAAGCTAGCAAACATTAACATGTTTCAGGAAGAAGGGGAACAGCGGGAAGGGAAGGGGCCAGAGCGGGCTTTCTACAAGTGGGCAAACGCTGGGCAGAAGCTCTCCTAAAGCTGGGCATGGTTTGAACTATGAAATGCTAGAAGTTGCCTGGCGTTGGGACAAAAGCTGCCCAGAGTTGGGGAAGAAGTTGCCCACATTTACCGAGTAGCGGCCGTGTGTGAGTTTTCTAGTCCCCCCGGAGGAAGAAGTGCGCGAATTCGAATTTATTTCCGATTTTGAGTTTTCTTTTCAAACATTTTTCAGGTTTTTTGAAATACCCGGGAGAACA